GAAATCGAAATGGAGCTTATGGTAATGGGGCAACAAATGGAAGAAACGGAAATGGAGCAACAAAAGATGGAAGCGGTAATGGGGCTTATGATAATGGTGCAGTAAATGGAAGAAATCGAAATGGAGCTTATGGTAATGGGGCAACAAATGGAAGAAACGGAAATGGAGCAACAAAAGATGGAAGCGGTAATGGGGCTTATGATAATGGTGCAGTAAATGGAAGAAATGGAAATGGAGCTTATAGTAATGGGGCAACAAATGGAAGAAACGGAGGTGGAGCTTATGGTAATGGTGCAACAAATGGAAGAAATGGAAATGGAGCTTATGGTAATGGTGCAACAAATGGAAAAAATGGAAATGGAGCTTATGGTAATGGTGCAACAAATGGAAATGGAGCTTATGGTAATGGCATAACAAATGGAAGACAAGGAAATGGGGCTTACGTCAATGGTGCAAGAAATGGAGCTTCTGGTTATGATGCAGTAAAAGGACGAAATGTTTCACACTTTAAGAACAATGGTTACAAAAATGAAAGCAATGGCAGTGCAAGAAACGATAACGGAGGTAATGACTATGGAGGCCATAGTTATGGTCGGTAAAGAATGAATTACATGCTTTTTATTATTTTTCAACTCCTGTCTGACCTCGCTAATATGATCTGTTTATTTCTCCAAATAATTATTAATTCACCTATTGCTCCTATAATCAGAAGTTATTCTTAAAACGGTTTATAGCCCATAAAGAATAAGCTATGGAAGCAAAATGCACACACTTTAGGTACAAATGCTACAAGTCTAAAACTGATATTTTCTAACAAAGTGAGATGAGGTGGAATTTTTTAATGTTTTATTTGTACTTATTCAAGTTTAATATTGACTTATTAACCTATTATATGAACAAGGGTTTTATGTTAGTAACAGGGTTAAGGCCAGTAAAATCAGAAAGTTAGAAGATAGGTTTCTTTTTTGTGAGTGTAAAACATTTAAATATACCATTTCCGAGTTATTTACATGTTTCACAATAAAATATTTTCCTACCAGTTGTTTTCAAGTTTTATCTATACCACTAATGTTAAATCTTTTTAACGAACTTCCATTTAAATTTTGGTTTTCATGGGTTACCAACTCAAACAAAAGACCAATAATCAAGGTACTACATATGTTACTTACATGTTGTTTGGTGTGGTATCAAGCAAATAAATGTCCAATATTCTAGAATTTTCTGCCAGTTTCTATTTATTTGTAGACACGAAACAGTAACGTCATAAACACCTAGTTTCAAAACCTGTTTGTAATTTTAAATTGCACATTACTCTTCATTTTTCTATCAATAATCCTACGCAAAGTATTGACTCGAGATATGACAGACTAACCTATGATTCTACATACAACGCCAGTTACAATGAAGTGTTAGGTAATCTCGGAAATTACAACCCTTCCGAAGTTTTTGGTTTAGTAACGATTATTTTTTTGATAGGCTCAATATGTTTACAGTTTTTACCGTTTTTCTAGAAAGGAAACTAACTCCGTTATATTGCTCTAGTTCTTTTACTGCAGTAATATGTATGATATTTTTGAAGTTCCAAACTAGAAATTATAATATTCATATTTAATTCCATAATACAACAGCAAAAAAAAAAAAAAATCTGTTACGAAGCCAACTACCTAAAACAGAGTATATACTTGTACTAGCTGAAAACAAATATGTAGCAAGATCACTGAATCAAGGCAGTTTTGTGACCCATGTATATTGTTTACACAGTGTACGTATACAGACTAACCACCATATATTCCGACTCCCATCTATACTGACTTTAAAAAACATTTTCATCTGGTAAAGAGTGACAGAAAACTAGTTGCAGTATTACAATCAACCAAAGGTTAGCTATCAAAAAGTGCATTTCACTGTCTTTGTAATTTTAAATGTGATTTATGTTGTTTCTAACGAATTTTCTTTTTCTTTTACATTCTTCCAAAATTAGTTTTATTTGCGGGATAGAAGCACTTTGTATGGAATCTTACTGGCAGTAATGTTTTAATAAAATAGTTCACATGTTACCTTCCCCATTTTTGTTTCTTTTTTTTTTTTACCATTACCATGGTACAGCCCATGTGGCACAGCGGTATGCCTGCGGACTTACAAGGCTAGAAACTGGGTGGGCAGAGCACAGATTGCCCTTTGTGTAGCTTTGTGCTTAATTACAAACAAACAAACAATCTATCATATAGTTCGAAAACATACAATAATCCTGAGAGAGAGAGTTGCTCTGCGGTTAGCGAGCCTGGACTAATAGTTATCATTCCGTTATCGCAAAAATGTGTTCTTTGGAGCTGTGAATGTACAATAAAAGTCGTGTCAAAACATACCATTAGAGAGAGAATAGCAGTCCAAGAGCTGTCAGTGGATGCTGTGAATGAATTATCTTCCCTCTAGTCTATCAGTTGAAAAGTAGGGAGTTTTATACCCAAATAGCTCTTATGTAGCTTTGCATGAAAATTTTAAAAACAAAAACAGGAATAATTAAACAGAACTTGGTTTAAACTGAGACATCGCTTCCTTGAAGTTAGCATTTTCTGGCCTAGTATCATATTTTGAAAGTCTATAAATACCTAGTGAATTCTAATAGAAAATCTGGAGAAAAATAATTCTAGTGGGAAACTTATGTCAAACCTTGCAGAATGAACAACCTGAAAATTTTGTGTAAAATTTCAAAAGCGGGGTACTAATTAGAAGACAGCTAATAAATCCGGAACAGGAACTGTACGAGTACTCTCTCGATCTGAATAATATTTCGAGAGAAGTAGGCCTAAATTATACAGTGCTGAGTAGAATATTGTTACTCTCTGGTCGTTAGTTAATTTTCCGTAAAAATTATTTCCGAAGAAACTTTAGCGATACAAGTCCTTTCTTAAATAAAACTGGTTTATTCTTTCTGTATACAACTTAATTATACGTAATTTTCACAGTCACGCTATAACAAACGCTATAATTTACAACGAACGTCTCACGTGCTCGACTCAACAATACCCCTCTCTCTCTCTGTCCGCAGTTCAATTACCCATTACCTTGTTGCCGTCACGTCTTGACCGTCTTATATATAAAAGAATACCGAAATATAGTAAATGCTAGAGCATTCAGGAATCTTCAAGAATATGACGTGTTACCAGCGTCACGTGACCCCCGCTGTCGTAACAATATTATTACGACAGCAGAAGTCACGTGAATCTGGTAACACTAATGAGTATCTCGAACGTTCCTGAAAGCTCGAGTGTTTGCCAAACGCCCTCTATTTTGTATATATAAGACCGGCGAGAAGTGACGGCATAAATAATTGAATAGCAGACAGGGAGATAGAGACAGATAATCGAGTCAAGCCGTAATTAAATTGTGTAAATCGTTGTGAATTACAGCGTGTGTTTAAGTTCAAGTAACTGTGCAAATTAAGTGTATTGCAAAGTTGTATTGAGAAAGAATAAACTAGTTTTATTTAAGAAAGGCCTTGTATCGCTGAAGTTCCTCGGGAAGAATTTATAGAGGAAATTAACAAACGACCAGAGACGTAACAATATCAAGTACAAGTTTCCTATGTAAATGTAACGATTTTGCAGACTAAATTGCTAAAGTGAAGATGGACCATTAATTAACTAAAGAGTATGTACTTCTAGAGATACAGTAAATTATGATAATATACTGCCTTGGCTGAACGCTATACTTTCACTTGTGTTGTTGGATCTTTTTGGAAGCAAGAGTTTTAGAGAGTTATTTTTAGTTATTTTAAGTGTTAGATTTTATTTATAGTTTTCTCATGAGGAAAACTGTTCACCTTTTAATAACTTCATTTTTATTTTATTTTATTAATAGTTTAGGAATCATTACTAATAATATTACTATTAGGCCCAATGTGGCTTAATAGGTAGCGTTCCGGACAATGAATCAGAGGGTTTATGATTTGAGTCCCAGTGCCGCAACATTGCGCTCTGTACTTTAGAGCCGTGACTACTTTATAAGAGTGACAGTCAAATCTAACTATTCAATTAGATTAGCTCAAGAGCTAGCGATGAGTGCTGTTAAATAACTATATTATTGTTACGTCTCTGTATGTTTGCTTGTTAATTCTTACAAGATACAAGTCCTTTCTTTACAAAACTTGTTTATTCTTCCTCAATACAACTTTGTAATGAACTTAATTTTCACAGTTACACACACTATAGTTCACAACAATTCACTTACTTTCTATTGCGCTTGGACTTAATTGTCCGTCCCCGCAAACTATAGTTCAGATCTCTGTGTCTGCTATCCTCAGTTCCCGCCGACCGTAACCGCTGTCTTTCTTTCTCTCTGCCTGCTTCGTCTCTGTCTTTGTCTCCACTGAGAGAGAGACAGACGGAGTCGAAGCAATACTGTCTAGCACACTTATATACGATAATACTGCCTGTTCTAGAAACTTCTAAGACTCCCAACACGTGCTACCAGCGTCAGTTGACGCAACGCTGTCGCAACACACTAGCGAATCTTCTAGAATATTCGTCATGTGACCCCGCTGTCGTAACACACTAGCGAATCTTCTAGAATACTCGTCACGTGACCCCCACTGTCGTAACAATATCTAGCATATTCTTCATTTAGGCCCGGCATGGCCATGTGGTTAAGGCACTCGACTCGCAATCTGAGGGTCGCTGGTTCGAATCCCCGTCACACCAAACATACTCGCCCTTTCAGCCGTGGGGTGTTATAATGTGGCGGTCAATCCCACTATTCGTTGGTAAAAGAGTAGCCCAAGAGTTGGTGGTGGGTGGTGATGACTAGCTGCCTTCCCTCTAGTCTTACACTGCCAAATTAGGGATGGCTAGCGCAGATAGCCCTCGTGTAGCTTTGCGTGAAATTCAAAACAAACAAATTATTCATTTAATTGCTAAAAAATCTATCAAGTACAGGCGGTATGCTTCATAGAACTTACACTAGGTTTTCTCAAAACATCAGATGACGTTTCACATCAGAAATGTCACTTGAAAAGCAAGAAGTTACAACACCCTTTCATCACTGTCGTTTCAGCCACATGATCGTCCTAACTGTCGATAATCGAATTATAATTTTACAGTGTAGTACATCTCATTACCACTTGATAGCTTGGACAGCAAGGAATGGCACTTCCTATCGGTCTGTCATCATACAGATCAGTTGCTATCTTATCGATCAAGTAGCAGTTACAAAATGTAGTTCATATATTCTGCCAGATTTTACTACATAATGGCTCTGAATGCAAGGGATGCTACTCCATTTAAATCAATGGTTGCTGGAACCAATGACTGTTTCACTTCAAGTGGTCACTGCACAATGTAACACACACAGTTCCTCATATCATTACTTGGAAGCTTGAAAAATAAGGGGTTGTGACATCCCTTCAGTAAGCAATGTTTGACTACTTGACTGTCCTAGCTTTCAATCAAATGAAAATCACAGAATTTAGTGCATACATTACAGTTCCTACTTTGGAAAGAAGGGGAAACCAGTTTCTTTCAGTCGCCAGGTTTTGGACTTAATAGTCATTCTAGCTTTCAATAATCAGCCTTACCCATATCAGTCATTGGCATCTTGTCTG